ATCCATAGCGAGACTTTGTGCCCGGGAAATTAAACATTAAGTTTTCTGACATGCTCACAGTATCCTCAGAAAGTAAATATTTGCACTGATATTTTAAGTTAAACATTACAGACCCATTAGCTTAATTGAATCGGTGAGTTCGAAAACCGTACAAGTCCAAAATTTTACCTTTTAAAGATAGCCATTTTGTTTAAAAATTGACTCTTCAACCGTACTAGATACCTATCCGTTAACGTAGTACAGCTGAGTACACGCGTGAAATTAGGCGAAAAACCGTACATATTCGTGACTCGTTAAAAGGTTTTAATTGTTTTTCTTGGACGGCTGATTTTGGACATGTACGGTTTTCGAACTCACCGATTCAATTAATGTCTTAACATTACATTTATGAAACAATATTATGTAATGTGACGAAAGTCTAATTTATTTAAAGTTTATTTATTTAAAAACACACTATTTACAATTTATTTCAGATGTACTATTTAATTTATATAATACTTAGACACTAACTAACAATTCTAATTTATTTCTTACACTCTAACTTTTCAATACAATGTTCTATAATCAACTAAACTGGGCGCCGATACGTCGGCTATTTATATTAATCCAACTCCGCTACTGGAAGATACGAGAGGCTCTCGAACATTCCATTTGTATGACTAAACGGCACTCCCCGCCGTTCCAGCTGTTTCTAGTACATCAGCGGCAGGCATTCCGTCGTATTCTTGTATATTCGAGACGCGGGCCGGCTGTTTCCACACGTCAGCGTTGCTTCGATCACGAGTCGGTTGCCATGTGAAGGTTGCGTGGGTACACAGGGTCGGATTAGGAATTTCATAACAGTAACAATCTGTCAAACTTTTTAAAGCCTAAAATTTTTAAATTTCAACATGGATTTTTAAAAGACAAAGCCATTATAACCAATCTTTTAATAATATCAGAAGCTACAGCTGAAGCAACAATAAATAAAAATCAATTGGACGTTATTTCTTATTAGATGTGCCTATATAAAATGTATATTAAATAATTTAAATCTAAATAACAATGTATATTTGTATTGACCCCCTTACGAGTGAATATTAACCTCAAAAGCTAGGCTTGTCTGGTGAAAGGGGCGGCTATTATTATTATTTGCCATGGCGACTTAAACATGATTGATGGTGCCATTTGATTTACAGGTGAGGAAAACCCAGAAAACTCCACCCACCATCATCAAAAACGGTAACGCATTGGGATTTTAATAATATGGATGTCATATCAACAGAAATTAAATTTCTGCTAATACGGCATCCATTAAATCCTATAGAGAACCATGCAAATAAATTCACATGGTCTTGCGTAGGATTGGTGTCTCGTTTACCACAAAATTGGCTTGCTAATGAATGCGGCGCCATCACTGAAGATGTTTGTTATTTGATCAAATCATCCAATGGGTTAAAGTAGGCATGTGTGAATCAGAACCCGTCATTGAAACGTCAGGCGTCCCGCAGAGCAGCAATTTAGGGCCTTTACTTTACATTGCCAGATTGACTCTTTAACTCAACAGGACTACTTTTTGCAGATGATTTCAAACTTTGCAGAGTTGTCAATGCACAAACCGATTGGGATTTGCTTCAGCTAGACATCAACAATGTAAGTAAATGGTTTGCAGACTGTAAAATGATACTAATGTAAAAAAATGTACAGTAACATTTACAAAAAAAAACACAACCCAATCCTAAACTAGAATGAAGATACATAATGCTTGGCATTCTATATTACTCTTAACCCCATTTTCAATCAGATATTTTTCAGAATCAATAGACTTCATCTCCTTATAAAGCTTAATTTTTCCTGGAGATTTCAATTTGATATCGTTTTTTGTTTCTGAGTTAAGATTTTTTCAATATTTCAACCACCCTTATTACCAAATTTTTATTTATTTATTTATTTATTTATTCCCTTATAAAGCATGATTTTTACGTTACATTTCATGTTGATATCGCTTTTGGTTTTTATTTTTTTATTTCAACCCTCCTTGACCACCATTTTATTCAGATTTTTTTAAATCAATAGGCTATGTCCCCATGATCTGTGCCAAAAATTTCAAGTTTATATTATGGTCTGTTTTTGAGTTAACTCCCCCATTTTTATTCAAATTCTAGAATTAGGGAATTGTGTAAATATTGTCTTTATTTAATTAGAGAGAATAATGCCCCGCAACAGTTCATGCATTACTAAATTGGAACTTTCTTTGAGCTCGCACTACTCCCAGGAGATGATAGACGTACAAAAAGTTGGTTGTTCACAGGGGGCGGTTTCTCTATTGGTTCATTTGTTCCTACTCCAAGGAGGTGGTAAACGTACACAAAGTTGATTGTTCACAGGGGCGATTTCGCTATTGGTTAATTTTTTCAGTGAACACCCAGTTACATTTCATAAAATAAGATTATTTTAAAATATGTAATAAAAATATAAATTCAACTTAAAAATTTTATTATCATACGTGTTAATCTCTATTTTTTTGGTATGCCTCTGAGCTCTGGCTAATCGCGTATCTGTGGTACACTATTTTGAGTGAACGCAAGTGAGGGAGAGGTTTTCGCGAAAGCCTGTAGCTAAAAAGAGAGGTCAACACGTCATCAGATCAACACGACATCAGATCCGTGAAAAAACAATGTACCTGCTTAAAATCACTTAAATCACGTTATTTTGTGCATCGCACATAATCAAGGCGTGACGTCACAAAGCAGGGCGGGGCATATGAATCTTTCCAATCATTAATATAGAATAAAGAGGAGATGCTAAGACGATACTAAAAGCGTCCGCACTTTGGCATTAACACTTTTACGTCATATGTGAAACTCGAGCTAGTGGAGCTAGTCAGTTTTTTAAAATATCGTGATTTAAATAATATAAAAACATTTTTATTCCGTCAATCTTCAAATATAAAATTATTAACTTCAAAATAATCAAAATACGACTCAAAGTGCGTTCACTTTTCATATCGCAAAATAGTGCTTATGTCGTTTCTACTTCATTCTGATTCTATTTCGATGTTTCATATTTCCAATCCTACATTTATAAATTCCCCATAAGACAATTTTAATTGTTTGTTTAAATAAAACTGCGACTTTAATAAATCGGAAGTATGTGTGCCAATTCAACGATTGTTACCAAAAAAACGTCTCCAAGGTAAAACATTTACTACTATTACAAGCATAAAAGTATTTTTGAGGTTATAATGTTTATTTACAAATTTTAAACAATAATTTAGTTTTACGACTGTAATTTATATTTTGTTTTTTGTTCCAGTGTATGAATTCTTCAGAATAGTCCTGTATTTTGTACCCAACTGTAAGTGATATGCAGTGAGCAAAAAAATTATAAATTTTTTTTGGTTTCATACAAAAGACGTAAACGAAGTTTCAAAAACGGAAAACTGCGTAAATGGATACAATGTCATCAGAAGAGATTTCACAGAGACAAAATTTAATTATATCCGAGTGTGTTGGGTAAACTATAGCAACTTTATTATGTTGAATTTTATTTAAAACAGTACTCTTTTATAGGAAACCCATCCAAAATAAGGGATGACTGGGTTCCATCAAGAAGTGGGTTCCATCAAGAAGTGCGCTCTTATGGCAATGATACAAAGTACCTAACTTTAAATAGATCTTAGATTGCAGTTGCCAGCCAAGAAAAATAATTCTACATTGTACCAGAAGATATTTTAGAAGTATGACAATTTTATATTTTATTTGAACAAAGGTAATTTCTTGACCATAGTACAATTGTATATGAATAAATGTTTTATTTTGTAGGTTGTCCCTAATGAATTTGAAGTTATAGAAATATGCCCTATCTATAAATGCTGGAGGTACTGATAAACAGTGCCAGACTGATAGCAGTGAGGATTTTACTCAAATAATGGTATCGCATCCACCAAAAAATGGAAGCTAAACTTTAGATACATTACAGTTTTTTTAAGACGATTTAAAAAATAAATATTGCACTGGCCTAAATTAATTCAACAAACTAAATAGTTGTGTCTATGTTAGGTTTGTACCTATATCATGAAAACTAAATTAAATTTTTACCGAGAGCAGTACCTAAGAGGTAAACTGAACTATGTCAACATAATGCAGTTTTATAAAGGTTATATTTTTAAAATCAGCTCATCGAAACCTTTCCAGCGGTATATTATACCATGTATAGTGATGACATAATAAAAGTTGACTTAAAAAATATAACACCATGTTCAATAAACTTACAAGTTAAACAACACTTTTTACTCTCAAGTTAGTCATATTATTTATTGAGGCATGTTGGAGGTATATGACTATGTCATAGAAAATTTGTTATCAGACCATAGAAATATGTTACAAAAACTAACAATTCATGTATATTAAAATAAAAGTTTTAAATTAAATTACTCCAAGCCACCACTGGTTGTTCACTCCCAGTGTCCATATCCTATGGCTCGGTTACTTTCTTCCTAATCTGTATGAGTCATAAAGATGATAAAGTAACCTAATTACCTAATGATTTTGCACATAGGCGTAACCTGGAATTTGTCTGGGGGGATATTTGAGTAAATATACACTTATTTTTATACAATAGACACAGAGCTTAAAGAGAAAAACACAAATAATATAGAATTGAGCACAACAAATTGTAAACATTCAAGGGGTTATTCCTTGGACTATTATAAGACTATTCTATTCTAAGAATACTTTGTTATTTGATGATTTATGAAAACTCACTTTGTTTCCAAGATACACAGTAAACAAAATTTGTGACAGTCAATGATGAGAAGATTGAATGCTTGAATCTTCAAATTAAATAAACTTTAAAAATATATTTTAAAGAGAAACAAGCAGTTATTTGAAATGAAAATTCAATTATTTTTTAATTTTAAATGAGACAAGATTAATTTAATAACCTGGCAGGTACCTTTAGAATCTATAGCATTTTAAAAAATAAAATAATTTTTGAAGAAAAAAAAATTAATTACTCACACTCAGTGCATGATCACATCTTCTTCTCGATGTACTTAATTCATTACTTGTTTTTTCAATTTGCTGTTTAAGAGCATCATATTCTCTGGTCGGAAAATGTCTTGACAATGTTCCTAAAAAATTAAAAGTTCTGTAATATTTCTAAATAAATAATTCCTCCACTACCATCCATACACAGAAAAAAATTAATTCTTACAAGTTTTTTTTTTTAGTAGGTATTTTTTCATATTGCTTACCATTACTTCCTCCCCCATTCTCTGCATTTGCTGCCATATTGTTAAACTTAATTAACTACATTTAGATGAGATATTAAAACCTAAAAAGCAGACTATATTTATATATACCTCTAATACAGTAAAAAAAATTAAACTATCCATATAGTTTATCATAGGTAAATAATGATCATAATTATAGGATATGATATAAGTAATAACCTACACTTTATTTTTAAATTTTGAAGGTAAAATATCACATTAAGCAGTTATTTTAAAATAAAAATTAAACATTATCTTTGTAGCATAAATTTAAATGTTATTTATTAAAAATTAAAATATAGTAGTAGCCATACGCCACAATTATATCAGAGAATACAAAAGGGTAAAATTACATATTTTTTCTGTCACATTTTAATTAAAATTACACAAATAAAATACTTAAATAATTTAATAGGTATTTTTGTCTAAACCTTGTCTTAAATTTGTAATACTCTTTTCTAAACAAAAGTACCATTCTAATTTCTAATAACATGTCTCAACCTGGAAATTAAGTACAACTAATTGTAGAAACCATTTTAGATTTTTAATATATACCTAAAAATGTTATTAATTTTTAAGATATTTTTTATATACTCGCACTACTCACAGATGTCCATATTCATTATTAAATATAAAATATAATTTTTTAACTTGGAATTCTTATTAATTCTAATTTGCTTTAAAATCAAGATGAAATAAATTAAATTAACTTAAAAAGTCGTGATCAAAACGTCTCGATCAATTTGCAGTGAAAGTAGGAAATTGCAGTCAGTGTACATTTTCCATTGAATGATTTCTGTTGTTTTGTAAAATATTTCTATTACCTCGTATTTTATAATTGTTGTAGTTTCATTTGTATATTTTTGATAGCACCAATACTTGTATATAGCTATTTATTTTTGTATTTTATCAGATAAAGCTCATTTGGATATTTTAGAGCCGTATAAATATATACATGACAAATATGACAATTCATTTGAACTGTCAGTCTGTCAGATATTGATATTCCTGACGTTTGAAATATATTATGAATGCAGACTGGTCTTCACCTATTCAGTTTTCGTGTGGTTAAGGCCCGTATTTATAAACAGAACGGCTATATCAAGCTAGCGGGCACTCTGTGGCGGCTCTATCAAGCTAGCGGACACTCTGTGGCGGCACCATACAAGACCTGGTGGGTTTTTTGTAGCTTTTTTGTTACGCTATTTGCGAATTTGTAGCTTTGCCCAGGTCCGAAAAAACAGCGGATCTGCTAGCTTGAATTTCCATAAATTCCATAGTAGCGGCACAGATTCAGACCCAGCTGGTTTTTCGTAACTTTTTTGTAGCTTTTTTGTTACGCTAGTCTCCCTTTTGTAGCTTGTACTGAACCTGAGAAAAGCGCGAATCCGCTAGCTTAGCGGATATTTGTAGCGGCACCAGCTCGGACTAGGCTCATTTTTTGTAACTTTTTTGTAGCTTTTTTGTTACGCCTGTCTCCATTTCGTTGCGAGGCCTGAACGTGAGTAATAATCGTTTCTCCATGAGCGTGAGAGAAAAGTGCGTTCATTTAAAATCAAGTTTCGGCCTCTACAAATAATATGTGCAACTCGATAGTGTGACTATCTGTTGATAGATGGCACCAGTATTGCATTTCACGAATTATGGTCATCTTCCATCCAATATATTTTTGAGAAAGTTAGATATAATCTCAAAATCGGACATTTGTTTTTAAATGTTTTTTAGTGTTGTTTATGTACGTATTTAAACTTTTGTTGAATCCAGAATATTCTTACATCTTTTTTGAATGATTTCCTTAACCAATCGTTTTGCAGTATTTATGGACCAGTGTTTAATTCTGTCGGATCACAACTATACAGTGTGTTCCATCTCAGACGAGCCACCCCTTATTTCTTATCCGTAATTGGAAAAATTTCCCAAAACACGTCGGATGATTTTCTTTGGGGACATCGATCTTTTGACGTATATTTGAGGCTTGAACAAGCAAACCCCCTATGAAGGGGCGCTTCAACCCCTCAAAATGGAATAGGGAAGAATAAGGGTTGAGTGATACATCATTTGTAAGGTCTTGAAAGCCTCTTTACAACGGTGTATGAAAAAAATCACATTCTTAAAAAAAATTAATTGTTTTATCACATGAAATGATCGAAGAACAAAAAAAATGAAGGCAAGATAAGAAAATGTTTTGATTTTTTTTTATTTATTAGTTCGAGAGAATTTATTATTGCATGGAAGTCAATGGAAGACAAATTGAACATTTCATTTAAAAACGCAGTTTTGATTTTTTTGATTGTAAGCATGATAAAACAATTGATTTTTTTTCATACACCGTTTGTAAAGAGGCTTCCAAGACCTTATAAATGAAGTATCACCCAACCCCTCTTCCCTAATCAATTTTGAGGGGTTGAAGCGTCCCCTTATAGGGGGTTGCTCGTTCAAGCCTCAAATATATACGTCAAAAGATGTCCCCCAAAGAAAATCATCAGACGTGTTTCGGGAAATTTTTCCAATTACTATGGGATAAGAACTATACGGGGTGGCTCGTCTGAGATGGAACACCCTGTATATAGTGAGAATAGGTAATTGCTTGGTAGCTATTACCACCGGTGTGAAGTTAGCAGTAAGTTTTTAGCAGTAACAAGTATTAGAAATTTAAAATTTAAAAAAACCGACTTCAAAAACGTTCCAAATTTATATATGGGACCACCCCGAGGTACCCCCTTACTAACAAAAAAATAATCATATAAATCGGGCAAGGTGGTAAAGCATTATCGCTAAACATACATAAAAAATGAAGAGTTTGAGGATTTTCTCATGGACCCAATTATTAGATTTTGGCCAAATATATATGGTACCACCCCTGAAGTACCCCTTTTCTAACAAAAAAATAATCATTGAAATCGGACACCTTGTTAAAGAATTATCGCTGAACATACATAAAAAAAAAATATCGCGACGAATTGAGAACCTCCTCCTTTTTTGAAGTCGGTTAAAAATAACCGAAAACACCCGATCGGCAAAATAGTGGCGTCCGGCATACAACTATTTTAATAATCTTGCCAATATGTATTTTACATTAATATCGGACAAATAATTAATATACATACCGTTGAAAATGTCCGATTTTGAGATATCTAAATTTCTCAAAAATTTATTGGATGGAAGATGTCCATAATTCGTGAAATGCAATACTGGTGCCATCTATCAACAGATAGTCACACTATCGAGTTGCACATATTACTTGTAGAGGCCGAAACTTGATTTTAAATTAACGCACTTTTCTCTCACCTCATGGAGAAACGATTATTACTCACGTTCAGGCCTCGCAACGAAATGGAGACAGGCGTAACAAAAAAGCTACAAAAATGTTACAAAAAATTAGCCGGGTCCGGGCTGGTGCCGCTACAAATATCCGCTAAGCTAGCGGATCCGCGCTTTTCTCAGGTTCAGTACAAGCTACAAAAGGGAGACTAGCGTAACAAAAAAGCTACAAAAAAGTTACGAAAAACCAGCTGGGTCTGAATCTGTGCCGCTACTATGGAATTTATGGAAATTCAAGCTAGCGGATCCGCTGTTTTTTCGGACCTGGGCAAAGCTACAAATTTGCAAATAGTGTAACAAAAAAGCTACAAAAAAGCTACAAAAAACCCGCCAGGTCTTGAATGGTGCCGCCACAGAGTGCCCGCTAGCTTGATATAGCTGTGAGTCGGACTTGGGTAAGTCATCCTTGAACGAAAATCGGTTATATCCCGTGAATTTAGAGATGGGTATAGTAACAAATCTGTAAATGTACATAACAGTTTCAGATTTGCTATTATCCATCTCTAAATTCTAGTTTAACACCAGAACCACCTAGAACTTTAGAGACGTTGTAACCGAACTTCGATTTTAGTTCAAGGACGACTTACCCAAGTCCGACTCACGTAAGTTCTGTTTATAAATGCCGCGTTTGAGAATCCACATCGGATGCATCTGAGATGTTGTGAATTTTTTATCACGTGATAGAGAATTAGATCTGAATGTAGATGTAATCATGGTGTAAGGATACAGGTGAAGCGGTGCGCAGGTTTTATGACGTCAACATCGGTATTGCCACGGCCGCCTATACACTGCCATGCCATTTGCCATTCCATGGCTTTGTTTACATTTTGTAATGATTGTCAAGAAGTTTAACTTTTATTTCCTAGTTCTATAATCATTATAAAAATGAAAATATATTTAGAAGAAAATAACAACTGCGTCAAATAACATCAAGTTGTGCTCAATAATACTTACAAGAAAAGTCACTATAGGCAGATAGACGCTTGTACAAAAGTATAATGCCAAATAAAAAAAATATTTTGTGCTTTTATACAAAAAAAGTAGGTAATTTATTTCGAATTTAGCCATGGTGTAAGGAATTTAGCCTAATATAGTTTCTCTCTGGCGTAAAAAAGATAGTGTTCATCAGAAACTGAATTTTTCCATCACAAAACTTGGAAGAGGATGTTACATCTAGGATTTAAATCTTCATACCTAGCATTGCTATCTGATAGATTGAGATCAAGATGATAGCCAAAACGTACCTAAACTTACAGAGACATTACCATTAAAAAGTTTTAGTGGCTCAGCAGGGATAAAAATTGGAACTAATAAAAGGCATACACAAATAACTAATTTAAATGTGAAACTGAAATATGTAGTGTCCCCTGTATAGTGGAAAAATGTTTAACCTCTTGCCAATTAATTAATAATAGGAAGTGCTGACTCATTAAATATGTTTAAAAAGCAAGAAACTCTTGCTCAAAAAGGTATACTACAAAGTGGATAAATTTTTCTGATTCCTTGAATTAAGTAGTTCATTTTAATTTATGTGTATACTCCTGTATATATATTTCTCGATTGTCATATTTGTACTTAGGTTGTGCATTTTTGTTTTTATATTATATTTTGTCTTGATATTAGAATTTAAAAAATTTTAAAATAAAAAATTTCATTTATGAATAAGTATTTTGTTTGTTTCTTTTCCTTTGAATTTTAACTTATGTTATCTATCTTTGTTAATAAGAATGTAATTAATTCTTCAACAATAAATAATTTTGAATCGATTCAAGTAAACTTGTGTATAATGTTAACGAATGCTGAACAATAAAATGAAGGTGAAATGAATTTTATTATGATCAGTATATTTTTTTAGTCGCCAATTTTCTTAAATAATCAGTTTGGAAGTATGTGGTCACTTTTATAGATTATAAATGTAATAATTTAATTTTAAATTAGTCATCAAACATGGATATCAATAACTTGTATGCACAGATCAATTACTTTCTTGTATGGTTGGGTGCTGGTAAACCCCTTTATGTATTTAATAAATAGAAACACTTGGCAAAACATACTTTATTTTAATAAAAAGCACAGAGGTGTTATTTTAAATTGATTTATTTATGTTTAAAAATGGTTTATACATAATGTTTACTTCTTTATCTTGCTTAACACTTTATAATGTATATTTATTGTTCTAAATTTAAACATTTAGGCCAGTCTCTTAAGGTAGTAAACCCAGGTAAAGGATAATGAACAGTTCTTAAAATCTATAAGCCTTAGGACGAATGCTTCTTAGGGAGATTGTGGATGCTATGTCATCCGAACTTCAACGAATTCTTTTTTTATTTTCATTGTATAAAACATTTATTTGACCCGGAGTGAAACATTTACTTTACTTTCCTGAATTTCCACTTGAGAATTATTTTTCAACTGGCTAATTTCTTCTTTTAGTGAAAGTATTTCTATATTTGATTTGTTGCATTTTTCAGTAATTTTGTTTAGTTCTTCACGAAGACTCTTAATAGTTTTCTCTAAAATAATAATTTAATTTTTAATATTGAAATAAAAGCAATTATCACTTCAAAGTTTAATATTTAATAAAAAAATTGTTTTGAAATGATTGTAATGTTAATTAGTATATGCTAAGTTGTGTAATTTTCTTTTCAAAGCCACATTTTTTGTTAATAAGGTAAATTTGTACATACGTTTCTAGTTCTGATGATACCAATATATTTTGAGTGTCTGTTTCCAAACTTTGATTCTCCTTGTCCTGGTCTGCAGTTGACAATTGTCTGGAATGCCCCGAAATATTAACAAAGCTCTCAATAAATGTTTGTCGATATCTTTTTGCCTGCCTTCTTAATCTATCTTCACTTTCTGCAGACAATTGTCTTTTTTTCAATGGGAGATTTTCAGTAGGGACTGCTGTTTGTTTTAAGTTTCTACCAGTCTTAGTGGAGTAGTTTAATAGCCTCTGTTGTAAGGGTATTTCAAAACTATCCTTCGAAAAATGTATGGAACAAATACAAGCTTAAAAAAGAAACAAGACATAAAATTAATCATATTCAAGTTAGGTTTGCAAAAATCATACCATTTTTCAAATTAATTGTATCTTTTCACCCTCAACCGTTGACCCAGGCTTTGGCTATATCTGTTTTCGGAAATCCAAAATACTTAATATTTGTTCTCTTTGTTTTTCTTAAATAGTTCTTGCTGCCAAACACTGCACAACCTGGCATTTTGTTAGTAACTACACACCCTAAAATATAGTAGATTTTAATGTATCAATAATATAATAATAATAATGATATATTAAAATAACAATAATGAATATAAACTATTTCTTTTATCTTTAAAATACAACAAAAATGTTACATAACCTAACTTTATATCAATTACACTACCAACTTAATTAGAAATTAATTTAATAATACGTACCAATAATTTCTAAACAGGCCTATTGATATATAGAAATGATATTAAATATTAAGATAAATATATCTATAAACTTCTAAACACTACCAGGAAAATATTAGAATAACTTTAAAAGTCGCTTTTTAACATTGGAGACATAGGCAAAACAAAAATATGCTCCGCAGGTGACGTCATGCGCAAGAATGACCAAATTTCGTACCGCTTACCGCTTCACCTGTATTCTTCCACCATGGATGTAATAAACAAACGCTCTAGACTTTATTTGGTCACGTGACAAATTTCAATGACAAGTTAGAAGTTTATACTTATTAAATTTGACTTTTGAGACTACAAATCAACCTAAATTTGAAATATAAACAAAAATTAAGCAAACTAATCACTTTTATATTCATGCTAGCATAAACAAAGGAAAAATTGACAAACAAGGCTTCACAGAACACTTACTCTCTAGCATGGAACAAACATCTCATTCACATCTCATTTCAAATCGAGATGTAAAAAATGTAATCTGAACAGGTACATCTGGGATAAAAAAACGCAGATGTAGATGTAGTAGATGTGTCCGATGTGGATAAAAAAACGCTCGAGATGTAAAAAATGCATCCGATGTGGATTCTCAAACGCAGCAAAATACGGGCCTTAGACTTTCTAAGGGCTATGATATTAGAAGAAAAACATTTTCTTCTTTTTATCTGTAACGTACAAAATTTTTCTCATTCTCATTTAAATAAAAAGGTATCTTGCAAAAATATCCGAACCCAACCTACCTATGAAAAGTTTGTCATTTGTCATTATAAAATAAATCATTCATATGTCAAAACTGTCAAAAAAGTTTGGGGTTTGGATTTTTTGATGACTTGTATTTTTAATTTTTTTTAAATTTGCAAGTCCTGCTCCTGAATTAATACTTTATTATCTTTAAGGTAAATAATTCGTTTTTATTATTATAGATCAAAAAAATATATTTGCTACATTACTCTTTTGTATTGTTCTTTTTGAAAACAGATTAAAGTTAAAAACATGTTTGGTAATAGGTACAAATTAAATTCATTTGTATAACGAATCGTGAGTGAAACGTTTCATTCGTAAGAGAATTTAAATCTAAATAAATCATACTGTTTCAGTTAACATTCACCAATTTTTATCCAAAATGGAGTCTCTCGCCACTGACTCTGGAAAAATCGTAAAGATGGAAGTAGACTATAGTGTCACTTGCGACGAAAAAATCCCTGAATGCCAGAAACTTGCGAAATCAGGTAAATTACATGATGCTCTGGACCAACTTCTTGCATTGGAAAAACAGACGAGGACAGGGGCTGATATGATATCAACAGGTAGAGTTTTAGTCGCAATTTGTCAAATTTGCAGAGAAGCAAAGAATTGGGCGGCACTGAATGAACACATCATCCTGTTGACTAAAAGAAGATCTCAACTGAAACAGGCAGTTGTAAAAATGGTTCAAGAATGCTGTACCTATGTTGATGAAACTCCTGATAAAGATGCGAAAGTTAAACTGATTGATACGTTAAGGTGAGTTCATGTATTCATTCTCCTTATACACTTAAGAGCTCTTTTGTAAAATGCATATTTGTGAACTGATTTAATTTTTTTTATGCAGGACTTCCAAAAGTATACTCTGGTCCAAGTTTGCATCTGTTAACTTTAATTTTCAAGGCATCCTATGATTTTCTTGACATGTCAAAAATTACTAGAGTTTATAAGGGATTTTTTGACTACTTCACTGGATTTACAATCCTAAATGAAAAAAAAAATCACTATTTAATTATTTATTAACAATATATAGACATTAATTCTGAAAATGCACCATTTTGGGAGTTATCTTTTATGTAGAAAACTGGCAACACTGTCATTAAAAAAGTGTACATCATTTGTTTTGTTTTAAAAAGTGAAGATAATTATTTTACCTAGAGGTAGGTACAACTCCTTAAAATAATATAGTTACGGAACAAAGACTTATGGTGAATTTCATAGTTTATTAATATGAAATAAAATTAAAAAAACACCCTTGTGTCATGTTTTATCACTTTTTATTGACAGTGTTGCAATTTTTCAGAATATGTCTAAAATTTACATAAAATTAATGTTATAAGAAAAATATTTAATGCAAAACATACCTATGTTATAAATGTTGATAACTTTATTGTTAATAAATATTTTTTAAATAAAGGTCCTGAATAACTCTAATTTGAGCTTTAGGCATAGGATTTGAAAATTAATGTTGATTAATCAAATTTGGGTCAGTGTATACTTTTTGATGCTTTACAATTACAAAATAAAAATAATTTTTGAAATCTCTTAAGAATTTGTACCATTTTAGACAAGTAACTGAGGGAAAGATTTATGTAGAAGTTGAAAGAGCACGTTTAACTCATAAATTAGCTCAAATTCGTGAAGAAGAAGGCAATGTCCAACAAGCTGCTGATATCATCCAAGAGCTTCAAGTGGAAACTTATGGTTCTATGGAAAAAAGAGAAAAGGTGGAACTTATTTTAGAACAAATGAGATTGTGTATAGCTAAACAAGATTATATTCGTACTCAAATCATTTCTAAAAAAATTAATGCCAAATTTTTCGAAGATGAAGGTAAGTTCCAGCAGTTTTGGATTATTTTACATTAAATCAGCAAATACTCGTACTAAATTTTAGGATGAGCAAATACATAAAAATTAATATTATTTTTCTGGTTGAGTTGACTTAAAAGCTAGTGTGTTGGTTTTTAGGAGCTTCAGACCTGAAGCTAAAATTTTATAGACTAATGATGGAAGTTGACCAACATGAAGGTTCCTATTTGGCTACTTGTAAACATTATAGGGCAGTCCTTAATACACCATGCATTATGTCAGTGCCAGAAGAAAGACAGTCAGCAGCTCAAGCTGTTGTTTTATACCTTATTTTGGCTCAGCATGATAATGAACAGGTATTTATAAATTTTTTTAAAATATATGTTTTAGTATAATTTAATATTTTTAGGTTGATTTAACTCACAGGGTATTGTCAGATAAAATTTTGGAAGAGATTCCTTTGTACAAACAATTACTAAAATTATTTACCACTCCAGAATTAATAAAGTGGTCTGGATTGTGTGATTTGTATGAAAAACCGTTGAAATCCACTCCAGTCTTTTCTAGCAATGACCAAGGTCAAAAAAGATGGGCAGATTTAAAGTTAGTTAAGCTAATTGTTGTACTTTTTTGTGTTTACTCCTAAGGAACAGCTCAAATAAACTTTTTTTTTTGTTAAATTCTAGGTCAAGGGTTGTTGAACACAACATTCGAGTGATGGCTAAATATTACACACGTATTTCAATTAGTCGCATATCTGAATTGTTAGATCTCTCATCTGCTGAAACTGAAGAGTTTCTCTCACAGATGGTCGTTAGCAAGACAATTCAAGCCAAAACAGACAGACCAGCTGGAGTTGTTCACTTCCAACAAAGCAAGGATCCCAGTGATGTGCTAAATGATTGGGCACATGATTTAACACAGCTCATGCAGTTGGTCAACAAAATAACACATCTTATTAACAAAGAAGAATGTGTTCATAAGAATCTTCAAAGTACTACAGCTTAAACTAGAGTTCTTGATTAAATTTTTTTCAATACATAGTTGTTTATTTATTGAATTGTTTCAAACGCGTTTTGCTTATCTAATATACAATAAATATTTCTTTTTTTTTTACTCAGAAATTGTCTTTTAGTAGCTTTTGAAAATGATTTGTTACATAAACAGAACATCATTGATTATAAAGTTTTCTGGCAGCTTGTCTGAAAAACAACACTTAGTAGAGAAACCTGGTGGGTGTTAAAATTTTCTAGGTATTTTATATTAAAACTAATATAATAAACACACATTGGTTTTCAATTTTTTTTTAATTTACATATCTTCTAAACAAAAATCTTTTAGACTAGTTGTATACAGAGGAACTGCTCTAAGAGTTTGTGAATTAGCATCATTTACCCTTACAGCTACATAGTCTCCAGGCTTTAAATCCCTCAAATTATTTCCATTTTTATCTGGTACATGTTCTGATGGAACAATTACTCTGATATTGTGATCATTTCTTCCTTGCAAAAAGCTTTTAGATCTCTTACTGTAGCCTTCAATCAACACAAGGTGTTTTTTCCCTATTTGGGATCTATTCAATTTCTCAGCATGATGTCGAAAAACTTGAATCATATTTTCTAATCTAAAAAAAAAAGAAAATCATTTAACATGATTAAAATAGAAAAAAGACTTGCAAGGAATTGAACCATGGAGCCTTGTTCTACAAGTCTGAGGCTTTAATATATCAATGAACCACCCCCATATAAAATACAATTGTTTTCATTATTGATTATAAGAGTTTAATCTTTTAATGATATTTGAAAGACAATTAGTATGGCATATTTTTGAATTAAAACCTTTTTTGTTTAATATCAGCTGGAACATTATCCTGGTATCTTCTGTGAGCAGTAGTCTTCTCCCTCATACTGTATGGAAAAAGAAAGGCTGTGTTATACTTAATCTCATTCATCAGTGATACAGTATCTTCAAACTCTTCATCTGTTTCCCCACAAAATCCACATATAAAATCTGAACTAAGAGCAACATCTGGAATAAGGTTTCTTATATGTTTTATTAAATCGATATAGGCTTCTCTAGTATATCCTCTACGCATTCTTTCTAAGACCGCCGTGTTGCCAGATTGTGCTGGCATATGCAGATTCTTACAGATGTTTGGATACATTCGAATTGTCTAAAAATAAATGTCTTGATTTACACAAATATTTTTATAATTCACAAAGAAGTTTTGGCTCAATTGGGTTTTAAATATACAATGTATGTTATGCAGCTTTTCTTAAATGTTTAAAAAAGGACTAGGAATTAAGTAAGCACTAGACACTAGGTAAATGAAATGGAGAGGTACTTCACTTAATTTGATAAAATTTGGCTGAGCAATTTCAGCCATCATCACATCCTTTCTAAAATATTACAAATGTACAGTTTTAGAAATTTTTAATATATCGACTGTTAATCATAAATAGACACACTTCCTTTTTTTATAAATATTTTATAAAAATACATGACATATTTACTGATTGTAGATTTTGTTTGATGATTTAATTTGTATGCAAGCTCAGAAATGCTTGTGATATATAAGTACTGGTAGGTATTTTGTTGAGGATTTTTATTTTTGTGAAAAATGAAAAAGGTTTTGTGAATCTATGGATAATAAATAATAATAATTTTATTGCCCAACAGATTTATAAAATCCCTTTACAGAGCAAATAAATTGCTACATTTATAGTCATTTCTGTTATTTGAAGGTAATTTTTAAATCATTGCGTAAATAAGCCTACCTGAATATAAATGGCCATCCTAAGTCATTGATAAATAATAAGAATATAAATGGCCCAAGATGTGAGTCTTGAGGCACGCCCGATTTTGAAAAGTATTTGTATGAAGAATGGCCCATTGTAGAAAACAAACTGTTGCCTATTTTGAAGGCAGCACTGGAAGAATTTTAGTAGAACAATAGAAATCAAACTGATTTAATATAGTGATCCATTTTATCAATCCTTTAAAAAATTGGTATATATCAAATCCATTTGTCCAAATAATTTATAGATAATTTTATGACAAAAACAACTCAAAACTCACCTCTATCACATCATCAGGAAAATCTTTTGGGTGAGGAGATGTAAATCTAATTCTCATTTCTGAGTCCACCTCTGCTACTTTCCTTAAGAGATCTGAAAATCGTAATCCGCCTTTTTTTGGTTTATAAACGGTTTTAAAACCACTAGCAAGTGTTGTTATATTGTCTATTTTATTATCACTTGAAATATCTCTATAACTATTTACATTTTGTCCAAGTAATGTTAATTCTTTTACTCCTTGTTTAGAGAGGTTTTCAACTTCACCTAAAATTGAAGCTATAGGTCGTGAGCGTTCTCTTCCCCTAGTAAATGGAACAATACAATAAGTACACATATTATCACATCCTCTCATAATAGAAACAAAAGCAGAAATTGAATTTTCATTTAGACGAACTGGTGTTATATCTGCATACGTTTCATCAAGTGATAACAAAACATTTATAGACTTTTGATTATTTTCAGTGAGGCTTAATAACCTGGGAAGATGTCTATAACTATCTGGTCCTGCCACTAAATCAACCATAGACTCTTTTTCTAATACTTTCTCCTTAAGTCTTTCAGCCATGCACCCTAATATACCTACTTTAAGAGATGGACGGTCTTTCCTTCTAACTTTTTTTAAACCTCTAATATAATCTAGTCTACCCCAAATTTTCTCTTCTGCACTTTCTCTTATAGAACAAGTCATTAGGAGAATAACATCTGCTTCAACTAAATTTAATGTACGTTCAAATTTATTTTCTTTTAAAATAGACCAAACAATTTCTATATCGTTTACATTCATTTGGCATCCATATATATCAAAATACACTTTTCGTTGAAAATTTGTTAACTCTTCAATATAAGGAACATCTGAATGTTTTTCCTGTATTTGAGATAATTGTGGTTGATCATTTTGTAGAAAATTTACCAAACTTGGCCCACTATCCAACTTTTCTTTAAATCTATTTGTGGAATTATCTGTTAATTTAGTACTATGAATATAATTACTGAACGATCTTGAAACAGCGGTTCTATTTAAATTTTGATTTCGAGAAAAAGCCACAAATATTTGTTTTAAATTTTTATTCATTTTTGTATAAAAATTTTTTATAGAAAAATAACCTCACTTATTTGATTCTTCTCGTTTTTTTAGCCTACAGTCTTCAGGAAAGAAGCCACTTAAGGAATACAACCTTTTAAATATGTACGATAGATATTTAAAATAATTAACAAAATATATTTATTTCATAGTATAATTTAAAATACCTCTCAATATAATTGAATTATCTACAAAACGGGAATAATGATTATTTTGAATGTCCATTTGGTTTGCGAGTTGAGAAAAAGGCCAGCAGCCAGGGCCAGCACGGCCAGCACTAAAAAAGAAAAAGGTAGGTTAATTGACGAGGACGAGCTTCATTAAATTTAGATCACATTTTTTAGGTTTTTATTAAATTATAATTAAAATGCAGAATGCAAAATTGATAACAAGGCACTTTCAAAACATAAGAAGCATTTGTACACGGTAGGAGCATATTATTAACATAAATTCAATACATATAATATTAAATTTTCCAGCGCCTCTTTGAATCAAGTAGCAGGAGCAGAGACGGCATCAAATGTATCCGAAAAACTAACAATCCCACCTCCGAGTAATGTTGAAAAACCAGTTTCCCCAAAAATAGACAAATTGGTGACGGAAATTTCACAATTAACCTTAATTGAAGTCTCCGAACTTAGTGGGTTATTAAAAAAGCGACTCAATCTTCCAGATGCTCCTGTAATGCCCATGGGCGGTTTCGCTGTTGCCGCAGCCCCTGCCGAAGAAGAGGAGGCTCCTCAAAAAGTGAAATCTGTTTTCACTGTCAAATTAATGAAATTTGATGATAAACAGAAAGTCCCATTGATAAAAGAAATTAAAACTCTAATAGAAGGAATGAATTTAGTACAAGCTAAAAAATTCGTAGAGGGTTGCCCTACTGTGGTAAAAGCAGATGTTTCCAAAGAGGAGGCCGATAAGTTAAAGGCTGCCATTGAAAAAGTTGGAGGTGTGGTAGAATTAGATTAGTGTTATTAGAATTAGTAAATTAGTTAATATAAAATTTTTATTACATGAGATTTTTTTTATCCTGTATACTGGATACATCCAGTATTTTCTGTAAACCATTGGGTAATAAGAATGATCTATCTTGTAAACTATTGAAAATTTAATAGTTTAATGTTCTCAGAAAATAAAATGGAAAGGATTTTCTGTATGTCACTGGGGTCACCGGCATCATGGCTGATGTAGCTTTCAGCAATATTACGTCCAAATGTGATTATCTACTTTTTGGTGGTACACTAGCAACTCGAATGTTGAGGTAGTGCAGTGAAATTTTGATGTATTTCTGCCTACTGATTATTTCACCACAACTTATTGCCATATTTTGGGCTAATGTAAACTGCCAATGTCTAATAATTTAAAATTATAGGATTGAAAGTTGTTTTATGCAGTAAGAGTAATGTCGAAATATCCAGTTTTAGAACATATTATTTTATCACCTATTGAGTACCAGGATGGAAACTGGAAATTGAAATTAATTTTTATTTTGAATACTATATGCCCTCGATCTTAACCTATTAATAACCAACCCATGAAAGAAATAAAAATTAAATTTTTATAAGCTACATATCAAAATACCTTCATGAGAATAAAAAATTAACAAAAAACACTACAAAAAATCTGATGTGTCCAACACATGACTTTCCTATCTAGTTATTATAGGCTTTTTCCGGTTATTTTGTACAACCTATTGCAGCACCTGTATAAATGTTTAGAGGATAAACTAAATATATACATTTTCCACATACATCTACCTCGAAACATTTTTGTTATAGATATTCATTGAAAACGAAAATACTGAAAAATTTAAATTTAGCACTTTTTCTACAATTTTTCCATTACGGTCCATTTTAGAACAATCATGTATAAACAAAAATTATAGAGATCGATATCGCAAACAACTTTTAGTTCAACAATTTTCATAAAAATCAGAATTTTGCACATTTTGTCAAATTTCTCGAATACGGACCATTTCAGGAAATTTTGACATAAAGCAAAAATTATAGATAATAATATTAGAAGTAACTTTTATTTGAACAATTTTCCTCTCCAAACATAAATAACAGATATATTCTATAAAATATAAAAACAGCCTCCCATAAAGTACCCCCCCAGATGTTCCGACTTTGTCCAAAATCTAGTCATTTCACGTCAGGCCGAAATAAAACTTAAGTTTAAAATTTAATGTTTTTTCTTTATCCGTTTTGGAGTTTTCTTCAAAATTCGAAATTTACACATTTTCTCAAATATCTCGAATACGGTCCATTTTAGAGAAATTATGTATAGGATAAAAATTATAGATAATATTATAAGTAACTTATATTTGAAGAATTTTCTTCTCCAAACGTAAATAAAAGATATATTCCATAAAATATAAAAATGACCACCTATAAAGTACCCCCCAGATGTTCCGACTCTGTCCAAAATCTAATCAGTTCATTGGACGCCGGAATAAAGCTTAAGTTTAAAATTTGGTGTTTTTCGGTGTATCGGTTCATGAGTTATGGTGGATACAGACACACACACAGACATCATCGCGAACATAGTCAAAACGAATTCAGGGGACCTCAAAACGTAAAAATCCGTCGAAAACTCAAGGTCGAAAAACATCATAATTCCTATACTTTCCTTATATCTGTATACAGATAGGATAGTAAAAACGGGATGTTGGTAAACACCTCACCAGTCAATGCTATACACTTTTTTTTTTGACTAAATAAACGATTTATATATTTCCGTCTTCTATGGAATAAGGCTACTGTGTTTTATCTTGTGGGATTTCACTTGGCAGTTTATTGTTGGATTTGATAATTTTTTCTTTGTGGTATTTCTACTTTCAGTAAACTAAAAACAATGTAAGATATAAATTATAACTGCAACATTTTTTTATCATATATGTAACGTTATACATTTTCCATGAATTTACTATTTTGTCGATGGTGTTTCTTAATAAGGGCCACCATAATTTTTTCTTTTTATATTTTTTCGATAATTAGCTAATCCATTGTCGTGATAAGGTTAACTCTGCCCATTTATATATTATACTTAGATTAGACACATCATTTGGTTGTGGTACTTGAACAACCTTCTTTTCTTGTCGATTATATCTTTTAACAGTTTTTTGAGGAAGTATTATGATAGTGTGTAGTTATAAAGAGTTATTACCACCTAAGACGTGGGTGGAGTTATTAAATTTATCCATCTCATCGTTTCATACTTCCTGTCTGTACACCAATCATAAAAGTACAGGATATATTTTAAATGAAAAACAATTATTTGAGTAAAATTTTTACTAGTCTGTACTTAAAAGTTTCTGGGCTGAACTACTGTTTGACCGGTGATGTGCTTATGCGACACCTACATTTGAACTTGATTAAATAAGTAATGGTTCTTAAAAATGTATAATTTGTTTCAGAGTCTTTATTCTTATAATTTTTTTTTTAAGTAAGGAATATGATGAAATAATATAAATTTGTTAAAACAAAAAATTAGGCTTATTTAATAACTGATATCCAACAATAACAACAACGTACATTTTGATCATTAAAACAAATATTTTATAGGAATAGGAAAAAAATTAAAGTTGTAACTTTTTTTAGATTGGCGGTACTGTTGTTATTGTGAAAAAAAAAAATAGATCACAAATATATCATATAGATCCTACTTAAAAAATATATAATTTGAGGTGGTGGGTACACACTTCACTGTTCATAGATGAGTTAATAAAATGTAAGTGGTTTATACACAGTGCAACAAAAAGATGTACAGTGTAAATTTAACCGTAGTTTTTCGGGATCAAAATAAGTTGATTTAAGCTAACTTGCTTTTATAAAAAATGGATAGAAAAAGGTACAGGATGTTAAAGTAGAATTTGTATAAGTAATTTATTGCTCTTACACTAAAATGGCTCAAAATATTTTTACAAAAATGTACAAGGAATATTAGTGTACAGTGACCCAATAAAATAAAGTTAGTGGCGTCTTAAAATATTTTAATTCTATAAGTTTTTGTAAGGGTTCTGCTCCCACTTGACCCCCTACTTTTTTAGACAATGAAATTAAGTTAAAAACAGGACGCCACTGAAATTCTACGTTTTTAATTTTTTTTGTCTCTTAATATTTGTAAAAGCCTTAAGGAAGGTCATAGTGAAAAATACACAATGAAATTTTTCTAATGATAATAAACCACTGAATATTTTTTGTTCACGATTTTTTTTTACTATTTTATAACCTCATTTACAATGATTCCCTTGTATTATCGATCGTCTTTGATTTATTTTCGACCCCAGAAACTGTGCTTAAATTTATTGTACGTCTTTTTGTTACACCTTGTATATTAAGAATGGGACATATATAACAACTGAAGATTCTCTGATTAAAAATATGACGATTAGACGAAAAATGCTTAGGTAAAATGTTGGTTATTTCGGAAATTCAGGATGTTAAAGTTGAAAATTTAAATATTATTAATGGCTATAATTTTTTTTTATTACTCAGTATAATTTTACTAAATTCGGCAAACGTTTTTGGTGTTCTAAAATACACCTATGAGCGAAAAAAATCAGTAAAATAAACTTTGCCAGTGACGTACGGTATGGGTAACACTGCGCCTTCTACATTTTATGCCACTCTCTAAAAACTTATTTGGCATGTAATTTTAAATTGTTTTATGGTTTTTAAATAAATCATGTACTTTTATTGGAAACTTATAGTGGTTGATTTTTGATATATACGTACTCAAAGATGGATACACTTTATTTAAATTTATTTTGAAATTTCGATTTTTTTCTGTTTCCAACAATAGTACATTATTTATTTAAAAAAAATTAAATTGTAATCCAATTACTGAATAATAAAAAATTATAGCCATTAATAATTTTTGAATTTTCAAACTCTACACCCTATATTTTGGAAACGAGTAACGCAACATTTTTACCTAAGCTTTTTTCATTTAATCGTCTTATTTTTGATCAGATAATAAACAGATGTTTTACGTTCCATTCTTAATGGAACACCCTGTATAATACATGTAAATATGCTCGTTATGGCATAATAAATAAATTTCCATTGCCCGTCGAAAGGCAGGAAGAGGTGGACTATGCATAATGGTCAATAATAAATAAATAATCTTTTATTCCATTGCTCTTCAAGCAAGTCGTATATGGTACCTCATATGTATTGAAAGTGTAACAAGACTATAGATTTTGGGAACTCTGGTTGGCATATCAAAGCATTAGACAATATTTCTGGTAAGGGTGAGATGTACTATGTAAAACAAGAAATATATTTATAGATTATAAGTGTCCATTTACATTTTATTTCTATTATTTTCAAGATTGTATTCAGTGGGATAATTACAATATTGTATCACGGCAATAATTATAATGAACACTATTAATTACATAGGCATTTAAATTACTTTTTTACGAACTGCAGACAATATAAATATATTAAAGAAACTCAAATATGACATGGTGGTTTGGATTTGTATGTTCTAACCAGAAATTTTGATCTGATGTCTACTACTTCGCAATTAGTTTCGCTATTCATCCAGTTAGCACTTATAACTATTATTTTTAACTATATAATATAGTCAAATAAAAAATATAGTTTTCAATGATTTACTTTAAAATCTAGATGCGTATAGATATAACGGGACGGGCCTGGGCCGGACCCAGGCCAACAACGGACCAAGGTTCGTCAGATTTGTACGGTGTCGTATATCTACCCTGCGATGGAAAGCAGCGGGCCTACCACGGGCCGGGCTAATTAAGATCGAAGTAGGTGCGTTTGATTTCCATCGCACGGTAGATATACGGCACCGTACAAATCTGACGAACCTGGACCCGCTGTTGGCCTGGGCTCGGCCCGTTATATCTATGCGCACCTTTATACAGAAACGTTTTTTATTAACTTCTAATTGTAAATATTTTTGCAGCGATTATTTTTATTTGTGCGCACTAATGC